AAGCAGTCACAGCTCAACAGAGATCTGGTGATGGTGGGGGGAGTGTGTGGGACAGGGATGGCCAAGTCCCCAGAGCCGTCCTGGGACCACCTGACTTCTGCATGGCCGCAGCTCAGCTGAGCTCCAGCATGTGGGTTCAGGGATTCAGGTCCCAGTGGCTGTCCTCTAGGATTGTGGCAGAAGCAGCTGCAGCTCAGCTGAGCTCCAGAGACAGCGAGGGGGTTTGGAGCAGGCCTCTCATTCTTTCCATTTCAAGATAACAGCATAGAATTTAAAATGAAGACGCACCGCTCATTCTGCAGAGATGTTCCTTTTCAGAATACTTTGGGGAAAAAAGTTAGTTTTTTATGAGCAAAATGTATTAATTAGTCTTCTAATATTGCTCTAAGAAATGTAACAGATTGGATGGGTTAGACAATAGAAATCTATTTCTTTTGTTCTGGAAGCCAGAAGGCTCTGATCAATGTGTCAGAAAGTTTGGCCCTGCCCGAGAGCTCTACTTGTGGCCCACAGATTTCTGGCTTCACTCTAAGGATTTTCTCATACAGCCACTTTTCTTGGCCTACATGCTTCTGATGTCTGTTCATCTTCTTGCAAGGATAGCAGTCCCATTAGGCCAGACACCCTTGCAATTCGATTTAATCCTAACTACTTCTTTAAAAATCTTGTCTTTATGGACAAAACTTCAGTATATGCTTTGGGGGACCACAAGCCATGTCACAGCTGCTAGCGAGGCTATTTGTCAGATATCCTGTATATCTTCTCCTTGGGGGGAGTTATCGAGTGTTATGAAGAATTATGAAAAAAGTAACATTTATATATTATATCAAGTCATTTGAAATAATCTTATATGTGAGTCATTTATGTGAGTTATCAACTATAAGTGAAAAGATAAGTGATCATAACATGGCCACCAACTGCTTTTTGGCTCTTACTAAACTTGAAAAGATTGAGCAAAGGTATCCAGGCAGATTAGCGGTTCATACTTTCTCATCTTGTTTTCCAGAACAAATAAATCTCCAAAGTTAGGAATGTCAGGTGTGAACGCTGTTCACCCATCAAGTCTACAGATCTGGTCTTTATTCTCTGGATGTGTGGCTTCCACATCCAAAGCAAGCCAGAGTTTTACTTAGGTGGCTTCAATGTGCAGAGCCACAGAACTGAGGCACTTTAGTTCCAAACATAGGTAAGCAAGGACATGATAGTATTTGTATGTAAGAACAAGAGTGCTGTCCCTTCATCAAGACCACAGCAGTTAGTTTCAAAAACATCACTTTATGTTTGATTGAAACACTTACAATATTTCCATTTTTTATTACTGCTTTGTTTAGGATTGCCTTATTTACCAAATAAAAAGAAAGCATGTCCATTTAAAGTAGAATTGTAGGCAAATGATGAATTTTTTTTAGTGAATACAAATCTTACTCAATATTTGGGACACACTTTTGCAAAAAAAATATTGATGAGATATACTAAAAACAGATTTGACGGGCTAGCCAGATAATTTTAGCAAACTAAAGCACCTGCTTAGGCAAGTGTAGGCAAGTATAGAGACCGTGGTTCAATCCCCGGCACCACATGCCTCGCCAGACCCGCCCCCAGGCAGGCTGAGCTGGTCAGAGTCCTGGTGTAGTGGCTCACACCTGTAATCCCAGAGCTGGGGAGGCTGAAAGCAGGAGGATCTCTGTGAGTCCAAGCTGGGCAATGGGCAGTGAGACCCTGTAACAACTATATATATATATGATTTGATATTTATCTGAAATTCAATTTTAACTGTGGATCCTGTATGGTTTTTTGGCAACCCTGCTTTAAGTTAAAGAATGAATCCTTTCTCCTTACAACTTCCTGTGCCAGCCTTCTCCCCGATCATCTTCGTAAACTTCATCATTACCTTTGTAATTTAACTTTCTGGTCTTAAATTGATGTTGCTTTTTAAGTCTGTCCCAAAGCATGAAAACACCAGGCCTCAGGCTCCCACCATTGAAATTCTGTGACATGTGGTTACAAGCATACGTGCTAAAACATTAAAGCTAGCGGGCGCCAAGCTCTCCCTCTGTGCTGAAGTGCTCACATCTTGCATCCAGATCCAGTACCACTCGCGACAGCACCAGCAGACAGTAGGTACCTAGCAATGCTGTGACACACTGGCTCTAAGCCCGGGGCTCAGTTTCTTCACCTGTGAAATGTGGAGATTGGATTCAAGGTATTGTCCTCAATTGTCCTGACAATTCCATGCTACCTGTCTTTTTTTTTTTTAATGTATTTGGTTGTCACAGGGTCTCACTATGCAGCTCAGACTCAGTGATCCTCCTGCTTTGAGCCTCCCCAGTGCTGGGATTATAGGCTCAACGCCCCCCTGGGGTGGGGCCGGCGCAGCATGTGGTGTCGGGGATCAAATCGTGGTCCCTGCACTAGCCTAAGCAGGTGCTTTAGTAAGCTGAGCTATCTTGCCAGCCCTACCTATCTTTGAAATTAGAATTCCATTAATACTTTCATTTATGCTGTGAAACCAAAATTGTTTTCACTTCATAAGAATCCCTTTTACTCTTCTGATAAATAGTGTTTAGATTACTAAATAAGTAATTAGATTACTGAGTTAATAATTAATAAATTCACCTGAAAAGATTTGTTTGGCCTAAATTCCTTAAGAGGCAAAATCTGTAAATATCCTATTGTCTCCCTAGTATAAGGACTTACAATTCCGTATATGGTTAGGTTTCTAAATTTCTTTGTAAAATATGTAAATGCTTATTTCTCCTTTTATAACATTATCTTTCCTTCATATTCTGTAAGGACTTAAAATTCAACATACCAATATTTGATGGAAAATACCTATTCCATCATATGCCAAAATGTTTGATATTTCTACAGATAGGGTAAACCAAACTGCATATATTGCAGGTTAATAATTAGCTTCTCTTCTGGGGGGCTAACAACCTAAGTTAGCAGTTCAAAATTGGAGAAAAGGAAGGGCTGCTAGGTCAGCCAACATTTTGGCCCTAGCCTTTTCAGGTCAGTGAAGACTCGGGACATAGGAGAACCTGTACTGTAACAACATGTAACTCAGCTGTGCTCCAAATTTTCTGATCAAGAAGATTATGGAGCCACAGAGGAATGTGTTCGATGATGTAAAGTAAGCCTGGGGAGAGTCACATGGAGAGAAAAAACATTTTCTCAAACTTTCACAGACAGCAAATTGGTCAAGCAATGGCCATGACTCATCCTCATGTCAGACACTGACAAGGATGTACAAAGGGCGGTACAGGGCTACAGGATAAATCCTGAGGGTACTTGGCTGACCTTATCAGATACAAAAGTTACATTTCTTGTTATATAGGTCTTGCTATATCTTGGTCTTAACCATCCAGCAGAAAAGTATAAAAACGAGGTATATAAACTAAAGCCATATTAATACGATGAGCTGTAAAAGGCTCAAGACAATAACTTCTGAGGATAATCCGCTAATATTATAGACTGCTAGACAGTGTTAGATTGTTTAGTTGAATTCAAACACCTAGAGTATTTAGATGTCAACAGAATATTCACCTCTGACAGACAATAAAAAATGATACAAAGGAATGATCATTTTGTATTTATATATGCAAAATAGTTAGGATAAATTTACAGCTACTTTTGCTTAATTCAAAGAGAAGAAAGAGGTGTACTAACAGTGTTTGGACACAATATCCTGTCTGCTTCTTGTACCATGGATAGATAGTAATAAGATCACAATGTACAGTATTGATTATCAAAACTGTCCTATTAATCAGCTGTGAAACTGTCTCATCCATATTTATTTCTCAATAAAAAAGCGATACTTAACAATCCAAAAATAATGTTCATTCCCTCTCCCCACGAAGTTGCAAAATAAAGAAATAAAGAAAAAAAAAAGGAGGTAAAAAGCACACCTTTCCTTTCTTTCCTCCCATACTCACTTCACCGCCAGGTTTTGACAACAGTAGGCGCGCAGATGCTGTGATAGTGAAGATGCTGACTGAAAAAACTGATAATGTTGAAACATTCCTGTTGCTTTGAGTTTCTGACTGTTGGGCGTAATTTTGCTGTTAACTAAAGCCTTCTCCGGTCGAGATGTGGACTGAGCCGCTCCTTGTTCTCTACTGCCATCTAGTGGCGCTAAGGTTGCCATTACAGGCTTAGAATTCAGAGCAAATTTTGTAGATTGTAAATCAAAAGGATGAATTACTTTATTCTTGTCACTACAGTAAAAAATAACTTATCAAGTGCTTCAGAAAATAAAATTTAATAAATATTGATAAGATGTAAGTTTAATACAATGAAAGGTTTTAATACTTGAGCAGAAAAAAATACTTGAGCAATGTAAATTAAATTTGTGCAATTTAATGTTTTTAATATGTTCGTATGTTAAACATTGAAAAAGAAAACAAAAACCAGCCGAAAATATCTTTTTAAAAGACTATCTTAAAAAATAAAAAGGATGATCCTACTAAAGTGCTCTTGTATAGTTTTAAATAGTATTTTTCTTTAAAGTAAATATAATCATAGTAAATGAAAAAGAAATCTGATAAGCACTAAGTTGATGCAGAATATCTCCATTCTGTACTTAACAACTTTGTTCAATTAAATTAGAGCTTTACAGTCATTATTATTATTTATAAATGAAATATAATGCTTAATGAATGTTGAAGGATATTTAGTTTTAATATCCTATAATCTGGAACTTTCTTCAAATGGCATAATATTGGGTTTAATCATGTGAATCTAAAGTAAATATAAATTTCTTTAATGAATGAAATAAAATATTTCTGAAGTGTAAATTTTTTCCCATTAAAGATGCTTTTCACTGATTACTTATTAGAAGAAAATAATTCTGACATTTTAACATTATTCTGACTTTCCTCTTAATTTGAAATGCCAACAGCATTCTGAAGTATTTAGATCTTTCTAACTACAGGTCTTTAATTAAAAGACCACTTTACTTCTTACTGAGTGAACTGAAAGATCTTCGATTTGTTTTTCAGGGTGGAAAAATCCCCATAAGGTGGACAGCACCAGAAGCCATCGCCTACCGAAAATTCTCCTCAGCAAGTGATGCCTGGAGCTACGGCATCGTCATGTGGGAAGTCATGTCCTACGGAGAGAGGCCGTACTGGGAGATGTCCAACCAGGACGTGAGTGTGCTGCAGGGAGCATCCTGTGGCTTGTGACGAAGAACAGACTGGCTTTAGAGGGAGAAGTACACCTTTTGTTCACATTCGGACTAGCCCTTGTCTTTTTTTTTTTTTAATGTATTTGGTACCAGGTCTCACTATGCAGCTCAGACTCATAGTGATCCTCCTGTTTTCAGCCTCCCCAGTGCTGGGATTACAG